ATTAGCCATGTATAGCCATTATATAGACCCATTAGCCATGTATAGCCATTATATATAGCCATTAGCCATGCATAGATATTATATATACCCATTAGCTATGTATAGCCATATATACACCCATAAGCCATTATATATACCCATTAGCCATGTATAGCCATTATATTTACCCATTAGCTATGTATAGCCATATATACACCCATAAGCCATTATATACACCCATTAGCCATTAGTATAGCCATTATATATAGCCATTAGCCATGCATAGATATTATATATACCCATTAGCTATGTATAGCCATATATACACCCATAAGCCATTATATATACCCATTAGCCATGTATAGCCATTATATATACCCATTAGCTATGTATAGCCATATATACACCCATTAGCCATTATATACACCCATTAGCCATGTATAGCCATTATATATAGCCATTAGCCATGCATAGATATTATATATATACCCATTAGCTATGTATAGCCATATATACACCCATAAGCCATTATATACACCCATTAGCCATGTATAGCCATTATATATAGCCATTAGCCATGCATAGATATTATATATACCCATTAGCTATGTATAGCCATATATACACCCATAAGCCATTATATATACCCATTAGCCATGTATAGCCATTATATATACCCATTAGCCATATACAGATATTATATATACAGTGTTCTCCACAATCCAAATTAGCTGGTGGGCGGTCTAATTAGCATAAATTTGCATATTAATTTGCATATCATTTACATACAGCATTCTCGCATTTATGACATGAACTGCAATACACACTAAGTTATTTACTATTCTCTTTTTAATTTAATTTAATTGGAACATGTTACAATTTTTTGAAATACAAACAGATTGGTCACTATCAATATTTACGAAATGCAAAAAGTTTGAAATCGGTGATTTATGCGTTCGCAAATTATTCTGCGTTCATGAAATGCAATTCAAGTAACCAAGAGCAAGTACAAAACATAATTCAGTTATAATGTAGAAAATATACGAGATGATTTGCCCACGAAGCCAAAACAGACAATTTGTCAAAACAAAATCCATAACATTTTTATTTGTGGCATCAGTACTCACCCGTGCCGACGGACGGTAAGATGCATTTACGCATGTACGGCCACGATACGTTGCGTTTTTACACATTGTTTTGGAATTCAAGAAAAAAGTGCTAGCAATCGGCAAAATAAAAGAATCTGATATGTTCTCGAAAGATTAGA